TATCATAAATAATACATGAAGTCCAGTAAAAAGAAAGAGTAAAATTAAATTAACAAACACATAAGCAAGTACAATGCTTCCAGCCACTTTAGCTACGTGTGGTCACTTGTTCAGTCCCAGTTGTAACCAGTGGCCATTTGCATACTAAAGATTTGTAATTACCCAAGTACAGACAAGAAAATCAGTCTACGAAACCTTGCCCAAGCCAGTTCTTTGAGATGAATCTTGCTTCTCTGGTCTAAAAATAGTGATAATATTGACTTCAGGCATGATCCCCAGTTGAGCATTTTGCTATTGGCTTCTCACTGGCAGGGAGATTGCCTTGCAGACATGGATATATTACAAAAAAAAAAGATCTGGTTCATTCTTGTTATCTTTGTACAGAATAATGTCTGGATTAATTGGTTTTGTTTGTCAGTGTGTTTTTTCTGCTTTTTCACAGTTTTAAAATAGATTTCAGTGTCGCTCTTGTTATTGTTTGATCCCAAACTATTATTTCAAGTAGAGCTGTTATGTGGTCTATAAATATATTTGAAACTACTGTCAGCTGTTTGTCGCAGCAAAACAAAATGTGTACATGTGTGAAAATAACTCCAGCATTTGTGATATATTGCATGCAGACCTTGGAACCTTAAGGCCACTTTATATGAACTACCCCTGGATATCTTCATTCGCTGGAAGCAGTTTTTAATGATTGTTGTAAATTTTATTTTAGGCAAAGAGCAAGCTTAATCCCAATGCCAAAGTGTTTGTCCCACAGAACACGAGGACATCGTCGTCATAGCTGTTAATGAGAAGTGCCATCCTGCTGTTGGATTTTATGTTAGATGAATAGACGGACGCCATGTATGATACGATGTACATAAAGTTTGCAATTTGCGAGAGAGTATACTGTAAATGGAATCCAGGAGGCTTTGTCCTGTCTAAATTTCTTATGTATTTTAATGATTAAATTAAATAAAGCTCTTATTTAATGCATACAATGATGGTGTTGATCCCTTTGCCGCTAGGAAAGGCAGTTTTTAAAAGCAGTTGCATTTTTATTTTCACATTGCATTCTTTTTTTAAACTAAATTTGTCACACTAAGTACAGTCAGCAGTCGTGAGGTTATTCAGCTCATTTTTTGTTTGTTTGTTTGTTTGCTTGTTTCAGACTCCTAGTCTGTTCCATTGTCGACCAACAAGAATGTTTACTTTAATCCCATTTAGCTTCAGGGGGGAGAGGGTTAAGCGCCCATGTTGATTAAATTGTGTGATCTGGCCTAAAATCAATATTACGGAACCGGAACATTTTGCTGTGTCATTTTTTTCACATGAATAGACGGTGACCATACTTTCAAAGCGTGTTTTACCAAAAGTTAGTATTTCTCTTTAAGCAAGATGTAGATTTTATTGAGTGTTTTTCTGTTTCAAAATCTACACAGTTCTCATGTCTTTATTATTAACAAGGCTGATTTACTCACCATGTGAGTCTGATTAGGGATGGACCATTATTTTCTTGAGGGGGGTGGGCTGGGCAATTTTCTGGGGTATGAATTTTTTTCTCCCCTTAAGGTTGGGCATGACTGTTTTTTGGAGGACAATAGCTTGTTGAAGGATTTTTTTTTACTATAGTTAAATGGAATTTAACATAATTAACGACTAGGAGCTAGTCTGGTCAGTAGCGTTTTTGTAGGCGGTTGTTAGTGTTTTGGCCCTATGTTAGCGTTTGGTTAGCGTTTGATATAGTTCAATGAAATTTTACGTAGTTTATGACCAGGAGCTAGTCTGGTATGTAGCGTTTTTTGTAGGCGTGTGTTAGTGTCTTGGCCGTCTGGTAGCGTTTGTTAAGCGTTTGGTGCGTTCTGTAGCGTTTGCAGCAGTCATGGTTGAGGGAGCCCTAGGGCTGACATTGTCCAGCAGTATTCTTAGTACGTGCGTTGTCGTCCCATGTGCTTGCAGTGTGTTCGTTGCTCTGTTAGCGTGGAGTTGTGGGTTGAATTCTAGTAGTTTAGCGGTTCTCGGCGTTCTCTTCCTATTCCCTCCCCCACCTATTTTCAGCATTTTTTTTTTCTTTCCACTGAGCCATCTGGCTTGAGTGTGAGGGGTGGCTGTAAGGGGCCTGGCGCGGGGAGCTCGTGGCTTGGTTGCGGGTTGGTCAGGCCAGTCGGGTGTTCTAGCGCCTTGGGGATGTGACTGCGGTTGCAGCCCCCGGGTTTCGTAGGCACCTTCCCTCCACTAGCGACTTGGGCGTTAACATTGAAAATCAAAATAATGATTTCCTCACGGCTCCCCTTCCACGAATTTTTTCAGCCGCTTTTGCTGTGCAGGAATCTTGGGTTCAAACACCACCCCCCCCCCCCTCCAAAAAATAACGGTTCCTCCCGCACTACTATGGAGTGGAAACTTTAGGCGGTGGGCACAAAGAGCCGCTCTGATTCCGTGAACGAAAATACATTCCTGGCCAAATGGAGTTCATAAGCTTCCTTGCAAAAATTAAGAAATGCAAAATTAAGAAACGATAGACCTTTCCACGGTTTCTGACGGCGTCTTATTTGGGGTCCAAAAACGGCAAAAATTACAGTAAATGTACGGGGAAAATGACGAATCTAAAGTCACTTATGAATTAAAAACTAAAGATACTAGGGAAAAGAATTTACTGATCACCTCTTGAGGGAAATAACCTGGCTAGAAAAGTCACAAGGTTTTCATTTTTCCATACATTTGTCTGTAAAACCGAATAGCATTTCGCGAGCAAATTTGGAGAGATTTCTATGAGAAATTAAAGTGCAATACCTCGCCTCGCAGCTAACCTGTGTTCTCTGTCCAAAAAACACTGCCGGGTATCTTTTCCTTGTAAATCATGAAACACTTAAAAGTCAAATCACTCTCCATTTATTGGGCATCAAACTTTTAACTTTTCTCATAGATCCACTGCAAGTTCTGCTGTGTTCGCCCCCCAAGCAAGATGGCATCAGAAACCGTGGAATGGTCTATTGCTGCGGGAGCAAAATATTTTTGAAAAAATGCGAAAACATTTGCTTCTCAGAAGTATTTTCTTCTGCAACATTTTTTGCGTCTACGCCCAAACGGGGAAGTATTTGAGAAAAATGTTTCCGTATTTGTAACCTGAGAGTGAGGGCGCCTTTCGTGTCTTTCATGGCTTCCGGCCGGTGGAGAGCGAAAATCATTATTTTTCCCACAGAAAATAGAAATAACAATATATTTTACGAGAATATGTAGTTTAATGTTAGTTAATTTTTTACGAGACTGAGGAGAGGTTAGCGTCAAATTAAAGGCGGCCGTGTTTGTTTAGTCGCCTTCGTGAGACATGTTAGAGCATTTAAGAGCATTTTAGTGACTTTTTGGGGGGAGACCGAGCATTTTAGTGGGAAAAATGGAGTATTAAGGTGGAGCATTTTAGTGGGGAAATCAAAGCATAATGTACAAAAGCCTATGCAGCTCACAGAAACATGGAGTCTAATTGTTTTATATAATAAAGAAACAAAACAAACACCATTGATAATGGCGTCATCTATACGTCTGTCCTCCAATAGATCAGAAGTTTTGAGCCAATCAAAATGCGAGAATAATTTGACATATTATATAAAACGAGATAAGCATGAATGTACTTCTGCGAAGCGTCTGTGACAAAAAAAAAATAAATTGTTTAACTCAAATGCAGTAAAGACCAAAAACCTGCTTTTTAGACGACAACAATTAGTTGCGGGGGTACGTACTTCCGGCTCTTTCACCAGGAACAAAATCGCGATTGAAGAAGAAAACACACAGTTAATCTTGTTGTGTCTTTGATTTTGGTTTTACTTTGTAATTTGATATTTTGGACTGGATTCGAAAAAGTCGTTTTTGCCCGTATTACACCCGCTTTCAGTGTTACGTGTACAGGCGATATTTTTCCACATGCTATGTAAACGGCTGAAATACGGTTTACCCGTGAAACTAGCAAATTTTCCGGTTATTAACGGAACAAATGACAAGTATATGATAATTACTGACCTCAAATGAATGAAGAAGATTGTGGACTCCCGTTTTACGGGATAATTCAAACGATTTTAGTGTACTCGATCGGATCTCAATAGTGACTTCCGGTAGAATTGGGCCGCTACCGCTCAGTTAATATTCGAAGGAAGTAAACATTCAAAGCAGTCGATTTATCACTCATAGAATGTTTTCTTGATGCTCCTAGCCTTAGTCTGATGTCAGATAAATCCATGACCAAAAGTCGAGGTCGTTCGTATTAAAAGAAGCCACTTGTGCTTACATTTTGACGTAGGCCAGGTTACATAGCATGTCGAAAGATAGCATGTCGAGAGATAGTTGCTTTACACGTAACACTGAAAGCGGGTATAAACAATATTCGAGCCTGACGCAGTAATTCATGTATCGCGTCGGGAAATCCGCCAACGTAAAATAAAGGAAACTCCGGTGAAGAAATTCCGATTGACGTAGTGACACAATGACGTAGTGAGAATTTTTTGGGGCGGGTGGCTGGTGGCGGTTTTAAATAGTTTTTCACTTCTACAGTTTTGAATACAACCGTTTTCTCAATACAAATCCTTACATTCTGCTATTGAATAATGCCAACACAGGGGCAAATCCTGGATGGTGCACCACTAAGGGATGGCGTAACTGACTAGTGAGGTAAACAAATTTTAAAAGCGAATACACAGAAGAAGGCTTCATCTCAGGAGGAGGGAAGCGCAACCCCTGCGCCCTCTTCCTAGACCCGCTACGAACATGGTATAGACACTCATCAAGAGAACCTTGCACTCATAAATCGAGCGTGGGCTACCCGCGATGTGTCAGTTGTCAGTGTCCTGTTTCGTTTGGTGCACCTTGCATCACCACAGAATATTTGAATAGTTTTTTATCTATACATTTTGTAATGTACTTGATAAATGATACTGAAATAATTATTGATCAACTGATAGATTTTTAATGCTCTTTGCATCTGGATATCGAAATCACCTTTGATGGACGTAATCCATTTATGTAATATTCTTCCACTGGAACTTGATATCAAAACGCGATTTTGATGGTTTGGGCGGTTTGTATTTTGCTCACCCCTCACCGTACCTGTTACCCGTCACCCAACACCGGTCACTCGCCACCCGTCGCCCGTCACCCGTCACCCGTCACCCGTCACCCGTCACCCGTCACCCGTCACCCGTCACCCGTCACCCGTCACCCGTCACCCGTCACCCGTCACCCGTCACCCGTCACCCGTCACCCGTCACCCTGCCACCCGCCACTGGTACATGATGGGAAAGTGCTACCGAACTAAGTAGGTTGCTTTGATATATGGTCACGCACTAATGACATCATTGACCTCGGACAATGTTCGTTTCGATTTTCCGTGTCAAAGCATTCCGTTTCCCTGTGGTTGAACCGATCTCAACAGACTGTTCATCGCAGAAAGAATCTTGAGGTTTCTTATCGCTGGAATACAGGGCAGAGAACTTGAAAGACCCCACGAAGCTATCAACTGAGGTAACAGCTTACTGTTCTTTTATTTTTACGGCAGCCAGCTACAAGTAGTATACAGACCACAGCTGATACGGTATTTATAAAAGCAGCTATCGTAAGTGCTCGTAATTAACGAATCAGGTCTAATATTTCGCTGCAAACTGACTCATGAGCAAGAATAGATCTTGTTCTCTGACCCGAGCTGCCAACCACAATTTCTGTATCCTTTACGAACGAAATTTTAAGGGCCTTTCCTTGTTTACACGAAACGACATCACGCATATAATTGACAATTATAGCTTTCGATGTTACTCAGATCACGAAGAACGTCTAAAGTCAGCTTAATTTAGACCCTAGGGAAACTGAAAAAGGTCCCCCCATGGTTTATCTACCTCAATGGAAAGAACATGGTAGCTAACTGTATCCATTTATGCATCATTAAGTTATTTCGAAGTAACAAATTCTTTTGTGGTCTATTAGAAAGTAAATTCAAGCAGCTATGTTGAATGTGTGCTAGCCAGTGGAAACTGAACTATTGTTGTCATTTGAGAGCTGGATAGATCACTCTTTGAGTTTAAGTTAGCTAATAGAGACGCTTTAAAAACAACAGGTTCTTTCCCCGTCGCTACAGATGAAAAGTTGAAGATTCTGGCATCTATACAAATATAGTATCTGTTTCATGTTCGTGTTTGTGCGTGCGTGTTGTCTCGAGTCTTCATGTCCTTCACCTGAACATGAAAACTCCAAATCCTGTTCAGAAGACAAGTTTGAGGAAGGAAGCATCGTCAGTCGTGATAATTATCCTGCTTGGTTCATTTATAATCTACCGTGGCCTCTTTCCATTTCTCTTTCTTTTCTGAATACGCTAATAAGCTTAACTCACCTCCGGGCATGTCACGCAAATCTGTTCTCACGAATTCTATTAAACATGACACCGAGGCTTTCTGCCGAACTGCTAAATTTTCGGTATCTAGTCCGTAAAAGGGAATTACTGGCAAACTGAAAATTTGCAATTCGGGCAGGAGGCCTCGAGGCCACGTTTGAAATGTATCGAATAGGGCCCCGACCACACTAATGCACTTGTATTCATTTCCGTCTCAACGAAAACGAAGCAAAATATTTTCGACCATACTAGCGTTTTCGTTTTGTTGTCACCTGTCCACACTAATTCGTTTTTATTCCAAAACGCAAACTTTTTGACACGTTTTCGCCCATCGTCCGCACTAAATGCCCGAAAACGTTGATGGAAATGACATCGGTACCGTTTTCAAAAGCCTTCGTTTTCATCTATCCACATTATAGTGTGGTCGGGGCCTCAGACAATGTTTGGACTGAAAAAATAAAAGATCAACCTGGTTAAACAGGTTTCTCAGTGATCGTACTAAAATCCAGCAGCTTTTACTTCTTGTAAGAAGAATAGAAACTCATCAGAGAAGGATTTTAAGAGTGCTTAATGATAAACAGAGAAATAAAGGCGTTCTAAGCTCCGTTCATATTGTCGTAAATCCGTTAAGTTTATTCTTATAAATACAGTATTTCTCTAATAAGCTGGTTGATAAATTCTGAATTTTCATTAACTTTGCTCTGATAGATTGTGACTATTTTTTCAACCTAAAAGTATTTGGATTTTTTAATTTACTGTTTCCTTGTTGTGCGAAGCTTTTAAAATTTACAGTGTTCTCATAGCTTTCAAAAGTTCGCGAATGCATCGTTCCAAATTGGGTGTGGTTTTAAGCTAGTTTGGTTCGAAGTTAACTTACATATTTGGCCCTTTTGTGGGGGAGCATGAATTATTTAAGTGACCACCAGCATCATTTACCTGCCCTTGTATTAGGGGTCATAAATTTTCAAACAAAGACAACAAATGCAATGTATATCAAAAAAGCGTGGCGATTTTCTAAGGGCAGGTCTTAAAATGCCTTGGTTTTAAAGAGCAAGGAAAATCACATGTTTTGGGTCTCAAACAGGATAAGTGTTCCAGCGAGAATGGGGTGTTTACCCCATAACTAAGGATGTCGGAGAGCAATTCTCCTCCCAAACCCCAGCTCCCTCCCCCCCGTCCCCTCCCCCCCCTTTCACAAAAAATTTAAAAAATTGAGGCAATTTTGTTCCTGCTTCGTGACGCACATATTTGAACCAGCTGAATTTCATGGAGAACCTTTTCTCAAAAACGGGGATGTCGCTGTCTGTCGCTGCCTCACGTCCCCGCAACAATAGGCAGTTCACTTTGAGCTACTTTGTTTTGACATTTCTTCATGATCGAAGAGTGTCTACAATCAATAAACATGACAATCAGGTACTTAAATAATTCATGAATTAGAGAACAACAATGTGTACTGTGAAATTAATGCGTTCAAACTCTTTTGTTATTTAAATTTTTCAGCACGTTAAACAGTTCTGGACGCATGGCGTTCATGTTGCGATGTTGTTTGCGGGCTAGCATCAAGTCGTATAAAATATTTAATTGGCAAACGTTCAGCTCTTCTGAATGAAACCGTTCGTTGATTATTTCACCAATATTTGTCGGTCTGAATGTCCAGTTCCATGCAGACTGACTGGCTATACGAATTCAGAAGTTTTGGGCGACATTACATCCGTGACTATAACTCGGCGGGTAAGTTTCACTGGGTGCGATCTTAGGCCTTCGCAAACGTTAAGTAATGTATGTGAATATGCAATTTTTTTTTTTTAACAGATCGTGAACTCGGTCAGGTCAATTGCGTGTAATTTTGATGACTGGTCATTAAAACTAGTATTGTACAGTCATATTTTTAATGAACCGGTGTTGGAAGTATGGGAAAATATTATAGTTTTGAAAATACTTCAATTTACATATAGGTCAATATCTTAACCCATCATTTGTGTTGTCTTGGTACTAACACTAATACAGACCTTTGCTTTGTTACTGTTTATGAGAAGTCCGAGTCCATAACACATGTTATTTCTGTCTTTCTTGAACCGCTCACTATCGCCATGGCGATCACAATTGTCTGCGGTTGTTGCTGTTGGTCGTTGCATTGTGCTATAATTTGCATGTTATAACAGTATTTTGTTTATGTTTTGGCGAGGCTGAACATTGCAGACTTGAGATTGATAAGGATATCAGTGATTACATCTGAAGAAATACGACTTAACCTTAAACTGCTTTGAGCTTATCTCGAATATTTGGTTTGAATTTTACAGCAATATTGAACCGCTTGCACCTGCAACTAATTTTAAGTGCGTCCACCGACATTGTCCTTCCTATTCACGTCCTGCTTCAAAGAATTGTTTATTTATCGCGAAATAGTGAAGATTTCCCCAGGCAGCTATTTTAATAAGTGCTGTCGGATGGAAGTGTCACTGGGATTACTCGTCAACAAGACCGATAGCGAATGAGGAGAATTAGGCAACATCCAGGAACATGATTTTTATCGTTTTCTCGTTATTTCAAACACACTTATTTCAGCCAAACTCCTTGACGAATTTTCAAAAAATCTCGAAACCGCACCAAAGCGAAAAAACCTACATAATCAAAAGATCTCTCGAGGACCAAAACAAGCACTGCAGGTGTAAAGTATAACCTTGTAAATTCGTTTTCAGGAAAATGACCCAGACTACAATTCGGTCTCATTACGTAATGCTTAACCCCTGGATGGACTTCCTTGAAGTAACCGTGCAAAAGTAAAAAGAACTTAATACAGTAATGTCTGGGACGTAAAATTGAGTGTTCAAATCTCGATACTCCTACATCAGCTAACTTGATGGCTTTTATTTCGTTGAAAATTATGGGATAGAGTAGATCTGGTTAGGTGTTCATACGCTTAACGAACGAGTTGTGTTCATTTTATGTTGGTGTGAACAGGGTACAATACCTGTTTGATTAAAATATGGTTGCAAACTTATTTGAAATTTGTCTTCTCAAAATGACTGCAAAGAGTAATTGACAAATTGGAAAAACCTTAATCTGACAGACTTAGTTAAACTAGTTTAGGTGGTGTAAATGAGGCACAATCAGAGACAAGATGTGGTTTAGCCAATCAGTAAGCAGGCAAAACCGCGGCCACCACTTTCCCGCGTGTTACACGTTTGCACGAAACTGGTTGAACCTAGCAATTCTTAACATAAAATTAAGAAAAACGTACTTACTTTTTATCTACATAGAATGGGCAGGAGCCCATCCCAATGGGCTCCTGGAATAGGAGAACAGTATATCTCGACGATAGTAGCGGAGAACAATACATCTCTACGATAGTAGCGAGCATATGGAACTGGTAGTAGAAAGGGTCCCTCAAATTTTTCTGTAGGTATCGCTGCGATCATTTGGAAATAAGCCTTACGTGTTTCTGCTAGAAAGATACGTGAATACATTACATGTTAATTGAAGAGATATATTACACGGCAGTTAACCTGAGAAGGCCCTTTAAATTGATTTTAAATTGTGCATTAGGCACCAAGTCTGATTACTGTTTAGGAATCGAAGTATTAGTATAAATTTACAAAATGTAAAACTGAAAAATAACTCCTTGTGTATGTATAAAGCAGCCACAGCATTATTTAATGTGTTTTTAATTTTTCTCGGGCTTAACGACAGAATGTTTTCTGTTCCCTGATATTGTCTACTTGGCCCTATGCAATTGCCCCAGAGGGACACAATGTCTGATGAGGCCACAAAGGTGACTCAAACCCTGACAGCATTCTATTAGCATAGATAGAGTTCAGCTTCATTAACTACGGGCGTTTCGCTTTAGTAATGAAGTTCTGTGGTGATTTCAACTTTTGACCGGAGAGGGCATTTGCAGCCTTTAAATCAGTGGTTTTACTCACAAGGATACAGTGGGAAGAGTAAAAAGCGAAGGATTAAGCAAGGGTCGACTTGTGGCAAGACTAGGTAAATGGGAGAAATTGAATGAACTGTTCTTTAACAGTTATGATAACTTATCGCTTCTGACCGCCTATTTATAATCAAAATACGTGGAGGCGCAACAGCTCCTTCGCTAGACAATTTGTATGCTGATACCTTTTCGGTGCAATCATGGAGAAACTGCAGTATATAACATAATTGAGTAAATAATTCCTTCTGAAATCGAGAGAATTTTGAGAGAAGAAACCAAACACTTTATTTGCTTCAGTCCACTGTTGATTAGATTTTGCTCCCTTAGTTATGTGTAGAAGTGAAAAGCATTCCAAAGATAAACAGAGTTAGCAAGACAGCTCTTTTTCTCTTCTACGCGACGAGTTTCACTCGAGTTTCTGACCGTTTAGAGTGGATAGAAAGAAACATTCCGCTTCTATTGCCAATTTGCACTGAGAAACAAAGACAATCAGGGTTATTCGTTATGTGCAGTGAGTGAAGCAACTGAATTACCACGGCTTTCAAATGCTAAATTCGAGATAAATGTCTGTATGAGATGTATTTCTTTATACATGCTGAATTAGTTGTCAATCCGAGTAAACTTGTATTAGGTGGGTTCATGCGGCGGGTCTAAAACACAGGTCGCGGATCATTGTTTTACCAATACTGGAACAACCCTAACCCCTTCCTAATGCTAACCTTACGCCTAAATACTACACTAAGACAATGTTTAGGCTTAAGGTTTGTACTAGTAAAGGTTTAAGGTTGTTTCAGTATTGGTAAAACAATAATAGCCTGTGACTCGTGACTTGTGTTTTAAACCCGCCAGGGTGCGTTGAAGTCTACTTTGAATCACGAACATTCAAACGTTCTAACGTGATGGTTATCTGCTTTCATTATTCTCGGAAGATGTCGCTCAGTCAAGTTCCTTTTGTAGTGCTGCGAAGTCGTGCACGTGCTGCGAGATATTTCCTAGACTGTCTCGTAGTCCTTCGCAGCGTTTTCGCTTCTCTTCCGCGAGCTCTTCGCCCTCAGGTTTTAAAATCATGGACATTTTATTATCTTTCCGAGCTCGGCTTTCGCACCTCGGCTTGCGGGCAAGCTCAAGCATTTTCCTGAAACTCGCAATTTTTTTCTTCCACTGAGCATCATGTACCCCTTTGTGTCCTTGTGTGAATTGTCAAGCTCGGAGTCCGGCCTCTATTTGTGTGTCACTTAATCATAGATGCTACGTGTTCATCTGAAATGCAAAACAATTTACATGTAAAACAACTCACCACGATTCATGCACTTCCGTTGTTTAGAGGTTCATCGATCCATGACCTTTACACTCCACTTCCCGAAATTATGACGTTGTTGGATCAACACAGTTTTTTATAGAACGGATCTCATCCACTCGATCTCACCAAATATAGATTTCCCGCCAAATTGAAACGCACTGCGCCAAAATTTCGCCGGCAATGTTTTTCGATGGATGCTACCCGGCCAGACTAGAAGTTGTGAGCCGTTGTGAAAGAAAATGTCTTCGATTCTTCGTCAAAAGGACTATTCCGGCAAATGAATCAATTGTGGTCTTATGATTGCCTGAAGCAGTAAGTTTTGTAGCATACTTGAAGTTGTCGTTAACCTTATTTGTTGTCGAGTCTCTTTCATCGGTTGGTTTGTAATCTCGCAGTTTAGATCAGTTTCATAGTTAAACTGAGCTTGTAAACTAATGGATAAATTAAGCTTTTAAGTGATAGAGTGAGAACCTTATTATCGCTTAGATATCTAATAAGTTTTCTTTAAATCATTCTGTTGTTGTTTCGGTCTCACCAGTGTTGTTTTTACAGTTCAAAGTTCTTCAAAATATTCTCGAGTAATAATTATTTAGTAGAAACCTCCGCCACATATCTCAACATTACTTTAGACCTTACTCGTAGAAAAACAACAGCAACATGTAAGCTTATGCGCAATTGTGCTTCCACTTGAACTCTATTTAATTTCCTCTTCGTTTTCTCGCGATGTTTTTCCACAAGATTTTGTGTTACAACCCTGAGCTTGTTTGGATGAAAATTCACCAAAAAGCCGACTTTCGAAACTCGACTCAGATGAAATTGTCGCTCAGGCTTCTCGTTCTCAGAAAGCGCTATTTTAAACTGTGTACATGCAAACCCTGTCGGATGGAGTTTGAAGAAAATAACCGACCAGTACGGCTCTCTAACTGTGTACCAAACAAAGGCTTTAAGAAATTTGCTACCGAGTTGAAGCAACTGAAGCAATTGACTACGTCGGTAACTGGGCAATGCCGCGAAACAAAAGGTTCACCTTCAGTGATTTGTACAGTGAAATGGTTCTGCTCGTGCGAAATAAATATTGCTTCATTTCCTTGCCGTTCTCTGCAAAACAACAACGTCAAATTACCCGGCAAATTCGGCGTTATCAGTGGCGAATCTAGGGGAGGCCCCCAATCTTCGGTTTAAAAAGGAGAAATCACAGAAGGAAGAAAAGCCGGCAGGGCAACCAAAACAAAACCGCCCCTCTCCTCCTCGCTGCAGGTCTGGATCACCCATTGGTTATTGTGAACACAGCAGCGATTTTTTATGGGTTTTTTTTTCATGGAAATGAACACTGTATTAAAATACATTTCGCAGTTGTGGGATAGCTCAGTCTGAGTGTGATGGACAAACAAAATGACTTTGAGTTTCCGCGGATCATTGGCAGGTTAAATATCAATATTTAATCATTTTTAACTCCACGTCGTTTAAGAATTGGGCATCGAAAAGATAAACATTTTACCGAAAATGTCTCGGAAACAAGATAAATTTTAGCGATATGTTTTTTTTTTAATTATGCTTGCTGTTTGAATATTGATTGATGTGTCAGTTTCTAAGGAACTGATCCTTTCTCTTGCAAATGCCATATTTATTCAGTTGTCTTCATACTCAGAAGTGATAATTATAATCAAAATTTTCACACATCGTGCTCTGATAATTATCGGTCTTGGCAAAAGAGCAAGGGCGGCGATCGGGACCGGAAAAGCATGGTTTTTTGATAGAGAACTTAGAAGCACTGAGACCAAAGCAAGACAGAGTTAAATCTTTGTTACATCTTTGGTTAGTGTTTTCACAGCTGTTCTCAATAGTATGACGCGTAGTGTTTTATTTACCGTTTCAATCTGCTTGGTATCTGTTATTTAGGGGCCCTGTTCACACCGTAGAAACCATTACTGGAGTTCCGAGTCACATAAGCAGCGTATACGGTGGAGATTGGTTAAGGTAGGTCCTAACTTCCGTTTATAGTTGTTGAAAACCGCCTCTGGCAAGACAGTTTACTCTTATTTGTCAACTGAAAGGAATATGTTCACTTTCAATAAAATATGCTCAACTGATGTATAATATTCGCGTTTTAAATTATTTTTTTTCTTGCCTAATTGTTTGAAAACGCGAAATTGTCCTACTTATAGAACATACGAAGCATGGCTGGTGAACTTTCTCAATTTTTCGATGTGACACTGGATAAAGAAGAAAACAAAAATTGCATAATATGACAGTTTACTCGTAACTAGTTAAGCTTGGAGATCGATTTTTTTTTTTTACTGAAACTCGCAAGCGGTACTGAACCAGTTTAGTTTCACACCTCACTACTGTTCACTCGAATTGCTTTCACCGCCTTGCCCTAGTGCATTGCAGATTTAGCTGATATGTACAATAATCGTCGTTCAATTTGTTCTTCCTTCTCCCGGGTTCCTGCTTCTGGCTCCTAGTTAAGCTCGAAGATCGATTTTTTTTTTTTACTGAAACTCGCAAGCGGTACCGAACCAGTTTAGTTTCCTCACTACTGTTCACTGGAATTGCTTTCACTGCCTTGCTCTAGTGCATGGCAGATTTAGGTGATATGTACAATAGTCGTCGTTTAATTTGTTCTTCCTTCTTCTGGCTCAATGGCCATTAAGTGGGTTAATTTTTCTGTAGTCCTGACAGCGCGTTCGTTTGCCAACTATTTATTATCATTTGTGCAATTAACCCTCAAAAAACTTGATAAACAAGCGTTCAGTTCAGAGATCCAGAGAGCCGCTTGGTTACTGACAATTATGGTGAGAGAAGCAACACAATAAGCCATTTTGAGCGAGCAACACACATTATTGGTCTTGGCGTATGGGTAAATTTCATAGGTTGTAGATCTCACAACCTAAAAGTAGCAGTTTTGTTTTTCTTCTACATTTCATAGACCCGTCGGGCGTGTTAGCACATTTTCTTGCGCAAAAAGTGAAATATAGGGATAACATTTATGTCATACTAAGGCTGTCCGCCGAGCTCAAAACTTCTCTCCCTTCACCAATACAAAACTCTTAGCTCCCACCTTTCGTATAAGGAAATAATTTATGTAAACGTAACAAAGATGATTTTTTAACTTCTCAGTGAATGCCTGAAAAGAAGAGAAAAACAAGAGAAAAACAAGTTCCGTGTTGTTGTGAGTCGAAAATTGTCAGAAGAAACGCTTTGATAGATAGCGTCAGATGACGTTCTTTATTCTAATTTAACTCGCAGTACCATATTTGTACAACAGCATCGATCTACCAATTGATGCCAAGTTGCTAAGTGAATGGCGGCCACACCATTTAACATATTGCGGCAATGTAACGGTGATGTAGATACAATGTATAACCTGACCTTTAATTGGTCCCCAAAACTAATTGACCAAAATTTGATTGACCACCGAAACCAGACGGCAAAAACTGATGTTAATTTGAAATGTGAAATTATTGTTACTTTTGTTCCGTGTCAAGAGTTTCTCGGCGCAAAAAAGTAAACGAAATAGTTCGTTCGAATAAGAAATCATTCTTTCATTAATATTTTTTTCCATTTGTAAGTTCTCCTGCCCAAGCGAGTAAACCCGAACCCAAAGAAATAACACCATACTCAGAATACACAATATGTTCATCCATATAGTGAACAAAAAGTGTGAAATAGTATGCAGCTTCTCCTTCTAGAGAGCGAGCAGAAGAAGTATAGACCTCTTTAGCTTGGGCGGTTTGTTTTCCCATTGTAGACCACGTTATATTCTCTAGAGAATTTTTCTTTTTTCCATCTTAAAGGTATTCATTCATATACATGCGACTATTTAAAAATTTGAAAGCAAGAATTCTCAAGAGAATCATCACGTGGTCTGCAATGGGAAAACAAACCGCCCAAGCTAAAGAGGTCTATAGCCTTGTCTATGGTTTTGCGCCCAAGGTTTTATAACGGATCATTATTGTCATTATCCTTACTTTATTTTATTTTTTGTACAGGCTGTTTCAAAGATTTAAAGCAGAGACTTAGTAAAAGCATACATTATTTAACTAATACTTAATTTTCTCTCAGAGAAAAGAGAAAACCCCGCCGACTGCTTTTTAATTAGAGTTGTATATGTTGTGCGAATTATTTGAATTATTAAGAGACCCTGGTAATTGGCTTTTTTTCTTTCATTTTCTTATCGATATCTCGACGTATTTCCTTCAGTTGATTTTTGTTTCAGAAATTAACCATTTCACAACATGCAGCCATAAATTCATAGTTTTTAGCGAGCCATATAATATATATCCAATTTGCTAGCTGCCAAAATATAACCCTAGACATAATTTATGCAACATTCATGATAACTAAAAATAATCACACTTTGAACTAAAATAATAGCTTTCTCGCGCCCCAGGCTACACTTCACAAAGTCGCGAGAAATACACTAAGACGAGAAGAAAAAGCAGAAGAAAGCATGTGAAGAAATGAAACCACAGTATGTTTCGGCATGCTGAGTTCATATTCCAAATAAATAAGCCATCCGAGAAAGTACTAAATTGTACCGCAAACCAATCGTTTTAAGGGCGTCGGAATAAAACGATAAAACAGGTGTTTTCGAGAATTGCATTTTAATTTTTCAACACATGTTTAGCCTGGTATGATATATCGGTGTATTCCGCTGAGCGTTGCGCAGAACAAGCGGATTTTTATCGGTGGTGTCATGGATGTTACAAAGAGCAGCGAATCTGTTGTTGTATGTGACATGTAGTTGCACGATGCGCCTTACTTGTGCATTGCCCTTTTACTGGTAAGTACCAGCGAGTCCTTGAGGTTGTTGTCGATGTAGATCATCGAGCTGTCATGCTTTTTGATCGCTTCCATGATGTAAACAAGTGAAATACGAAAAATACGAGAATAAGGAATGCAAAAATTTATCGTAAAAATTAATTGATCACAAAGCAACTCCAAAACAGTCTAAGTCGCAGTGTCGGCTTAAAAGGAAATATAGACAAATAGTAGTAAACTTAAAAAATACATTCTGCAATTTATCTTGGCGTGTTTCGTTTGAACAACCTTAGCTATTGGCATCGTATGGATATTTTGCTTGTGCTTTCACATCAGAGTTAACTTGCTGTTCGTTGTAGACAGCGAAGAAGCTTATAAAAAATAAGAAAGCGAAAACATTATTTCTTGAAGATGGAAGAAAGTCTTCAAGGGTGGTCTATTGTGACAATTTCAAAGAATTAAACCGAGATAGTCAGAGCTGGATGAATGGCTTTTGAATTTACCCACAACCAAAGAATCGAATTGTCTCTTCGCCGAATTTCAAAAAGGTTTAATAACCACAAAAACCTAACGAGCGAATAGTGTTGCGTCTGTTGCTCTGTTTCCTTTCGAAACCCAAAGTAAATAATTTGGAATGAAGAATGAAAATTCGCCCAGCAGCTCGCATGAATTATGAAAGGAAACGTGAATTTTAAATAGGTTTATCGTTTTCACAATGATCGTAACAGAAGACGGTGTAGCTGACAAAGATTTAGAAGTAATTCGCTCATTTTTCAATGCTCGTTTATTCGCAGCCGAAAATTTAACCTTATGTGGCGTTCCAAGAAAATTAAATATTGATAAATATTCTGCAGCGCTGGTTGTTTCAAACGGAAGTACTCGTCGTTGCATTGCGAAAAATGTTTTGGATTTTTCAGTTGTGGTCTTTAGATAGATAAGCTGAAAAATGTCTCTATTCCAGTAATTCTGCGTATCACAACACTAAAATAGTAAATACAAGTCGAGAGGATTCAAGTATTGCTTGTTTTTTGTTCCTTGTTGTTTTCGTCGGTTTGCGTGCCGTTTTCTGTGTATTCAGAATCATTTACAAAGACAATAGATAACAAATAATTTTCTGATAGGAACTGAACACATTGTTTAGGTTAGTTCTCCTGGTTATCTTTTTTGTTCAGAGACCACTGATATGTTAGATTTTATCGCATTGCGAGCCGGCATCCATATCAGTACTGGTCGAATATATTCGGCATGAAGCAGAAACTAGCGGTGCCAATATTCGTTCGGTCGGAGCGAAAAACACGAGTCAAGCCGTGCACGCTAAGCTTCCATGCCGTTACGTCCCAATCGACTAAACTAATTTAAATAAAATGGAAAATTCATGTCTTATCATTTAGTATTTAGAAGACTGAAATACGATTTCTGTTGTTACCATACATGTCCGTCTTTGTTCGTCAATGTTTTATTTTGGAAATCTTCTGTAATCTGTTTTGCAAGAGTTTCATTTTCATTTCCTTCAGATGACCAGATGTTTTATTCTCATCACTTTTAACCTACATCAATTTGCTTTAAAACAATAATAGAAAAAAGTAAATTGACCACCTCAGCGTGGCTTTGTTTATTTTTATTTTCTTGGACTGCGAGTTAAGCCGGTGAGATGAAGCTATGGATTTTAGTCACGGTCTGTCCTAAGGAGTAGAACTGTAGTAGACATAACTAGTTTCTAGGGTAATCAGATTGAACAAAGCTGTCGTCGAGTCAGTGGTAAGACAGATGATGCATACGTACTCAGTTAACGAACTGACACAATTGCAGATTTCTGCATTTAGGCATTGCAGACCTATTTTTCTCTCCAACTTACCTAATTTGTTGCGCGTTTTGGCAAATTGAAAGTGTTTGGATTTCAATTTGTTACACTGGAAAAGTAAACAAGGTCTGGTGATCTCTTTTAGACGAAGTAAACAGTGTGCGAAGTATAAATTCATTGAAAGGGATCGCTTGTTCTTTAAAAACAGTCACATAATAACTTGAGTAAAAATATAATAAACAGCGGTGATAAACATTTTAAAAGCATGCATTCACCGCTGTTTGTGTTATATTTTTAATCAAGCTACGATGGTCAAAGACCAAGAGTTCACATAATAACTGTTCCAGTTGTGGGGGAGCATTTCAACTTTGCCTATGCAGACAAGAATGAGACAATTGTTATGAAACGAGAACATTAAATATACAACTTAATTTTACGACAATGCAGTAGTCTCAGGCTGGAGACCTTTCGAATGTAAGGACGCATGTTCAGTAATTGCAATCGTCTAGTATTAGTCTCATTCTAAGAGCTCGTCGGTAAGGAATGAATCATGAAATGGCCAAGCAATTGATTGCTACACATATTATTTTACAAAGTCTGTTTTATTACTTCACTATACTGCTACACCGAATAGACTATGTAGCTTTCACTGTTTGATTTTTTTTGTGTGTGTATAGGTATTTTTTATCCCTTGCCAAGTCAGTAAAGCTGAACCAAACATGAACTTGAACTTGAAATTTTAAAACTCGTGCTTTATTTTATTTTTTTTTTAATCTTAAGTTTTGTATTAGTTGATAGAATACATGTGTTTTGACGATTCTAGTGGAATAAATTAACACGCGTATCCCGAGATAGTAAACCGTGGCTCAACACGCGATGTTTTTACTGCTCCCTGTGGTTGTGATGAAAAACAACAGTCGTATTTCCATCGGTAATAAGAAAAATATTAAGAATCCTTTTCTTTTTTCTCCAAGATGTTGTAATTGACTATTTTTGAGTGGAGAGGTGAAAGAAAAGGTTGTGGTGGTAATATTCAAAGCTGGTATAAATTGGCTTATCAAAACGGTAGTTTTGTTGTGGTACTACTTGAAGTTAAATCACGGCGGAATGTTTTGAGTGCAGCCACCAGAAATAAGTTGCGCCAAATTGCACTGAAATAAAATCAAGTTGATGGTAAGTTCTGAGTTTAACACATAGATGTGACTTGGGAGTCTTTGTTCTTGTTAATTGCGCTTAAGACATTTACAAAAAAAAGGAAAAGAAACAATAGCAATCGAATTTGGCTTAAATTCAGATTACGTGTAACGTCTAAACGTTGAAAATTTCAGCTCTTTTAAGTTCTCTGTCGTAGCATTTTGGCATAATTTATCCTGGTCTTATTAAATTTCTTATTTTATCTGTCTCGTTGTAGACTTTCAAGATAGAGACAGTAGTCGGGCAGTAAAGAAGAACAACTCCGAAGCTCGATGTGTGGTGCAGCGCTGAGGAATTGCCCGCGTCATGAGTCGTTTAAAGCTGCGATGGGCCCTCACTCGTGTAGCTCTGGTTATGTGCATCTTGTTAGCGGTACAGTTCTTCAGCCAGCTTGGCTTGCTAACCACACGAGGCCCAGATTGCGAACAAATGCGGGTAGTGAGGGAGAGGGTTGGCGTGCAAGCCAATCCCGAGGGCAGCATTGAACAGGTTGTGTCCGTTAAAACTGAGGCTGTGATCACGCAGATACCTGAAGTGAAACAAGATGCACCGGGTAGTAATATCAAAAACTCACAGAAGTTGATTGATGACTTAAAGCGTATTGCCGTGAAACTTACCGAGGTACAACGCGGTTTAGTATCCTACGCAGTACATTTTCACCGCATTGGAAAACAAATTGAATCGTTAAATAGTGTAATAAAATCCTTAGGTGGAGAAAGAGTTCAAGATGAAAAAAGTTCTCTTGTAGACAGGTCCATTTCTGTACCAAAGAAAGAGGTCTGTCCCGAACAATTTATGGGAAAGACGTTGGCTTACGGCTATCCTTATTTCAGAAAAGGTTTCCAGCGGCAAAATTGTACGGAGTTTGTTCCCATTAACAAACTTGTTACAATTATTGTTATTTTACCCGATGAGCTGTCGGCTGCAGATCAGTTCCAAGTTTTCCAAGGCATCGCGAAGTATTATCCAAACATACGAATTGCATCTGCGTCGAAGGAAAAGCTGCCAGTCGACATGTTAACAAAACTTAAGTTGAATTTAAAGAACATAGTCACTAAGGAGTTGACACACGGGGAGACATGGTCCAAGTTACTCCAAGAGGTGACCACGCCTTACGTCCTCTTTGCCCCGGATATTACTCACTTTACTGATGACGTAGACCTTGAGCGCCTCGTTCGCGTGCTTAGCGACAACAACGATGCTGTCATCGCCGGGGGGAGCCATCGTAATCTCCGGGGGGAGTGGGACATAGGCTGTCTTCAAGTGACATTTAGAAACTGGACGGCGTTTTTTAGAGGCGGTTATTACCACTCGTTTACTGAGTGTGTAGTGTGTGATGTACTGTCTGGTCCTTTTGTGGCCAAAACTGAGGGAGTCAGGAAAGTTGGACTAGATGAAAAGTGAGTAAAAACAACAGGATCTTGTATTGTGATGTTGAAAGTGTGACATGGGGCGGTCAACCGCACCCAAAGTAGTCCTAGCAATCCCAACAAACACAAATGGATAAAAAAAACACACATAAGTGAATCAGAACTCAAGGGAGAATCACCCAATCAAAGTGTCGGTAACGCTTGTACGAGATGACTCGATATTTTATTTCACTTCTTATTGTTTGAAAAACATTGAGTGGGCTGAATATCTCAACAAAATCCAGGTTACAACCAGTCTCTATATCTGTTGGCTTGCCTTGTTTTCGAAAGCCAGTGACTGCCATGTCATAAACTACTTACTAACCTAGCTTACTCGAACCGTACTGGGGAATACAGTAAAAATCCGCATATAAGAACTTAGTGATTTAAGAACCTACAGGCTGAAATTTGGCATTTAAATACCCAAAAATATAAGAACATTTTCAGGCTGGCAAAGAAAAATAGGTTCTTATACGAAAAAAGTCACTCCAATTTTGATGGTATAAATTCTGTATTTTAATTGTGCGAGAAACTTCTGACATGTTTTGTTCTGTATGTTATTGTTAAGCAAACAAGGCAAGCATTTTTGTTGTTGAAACTGCAAGTGCTAAACCATTATGTATTAGTAGTATAGTATTTCTGCCGATGGTTACACCACGACAACCTCTGAAAAATAAGAAATTATTAAGAACCTAATCAGCCTGAATTGTGTAAAAACTACCCTAAAATATAAGAACCTGTTAAGTCTGACCTCGAAAATTCTAGGTTCTTGTATGCGGGTTTTTACCGTGTTGGCCCTCGGTCGCTTTTGTACGACTGCCACGACCTTGGGTCAGTGTTTCCCAGTACGGCCCTCCCGCTCAGTTTGTAAGAGGTAATCAGTGACTACTAAGAATTGGGTCAGGACTTCAGTTTAGTGATCTTTTGTACTTTTTCTTCCCAGGCTAGCTTTCGGTGTCTTCCAGGACTTGTTCTGGCGCTTGAAACTCAAGCACCCAGAGAAGATAGTCGTCAGCTGTCCCGACGTTATGTTCAACATCTACCCACGGGAGATCCCGGACGATAAGTACACCAGCTTAGCTCAAAAGTGGGAAGTAAAAAAATGGGTCGACTCCGATGGTAGAGTTCGCTGGTATGGCTGCAGACGCGGTCACTCTCACACCAACTCAGGAGCTTGTAGTTTTAATACAGGGCTCGGTGTTCCGCCATGTGATCTAGAAAATCTGGCGGACGCGATCAAATTCGTCATGAAGGAGTGTGAAGACGCAGGGTTGTTCTGTGAGCTGCAGGAAGGAACGTTATTAGGTAACAATAGTACTACTGAGTTAAAGTACAAACTAGAATTTCTTTCACAGACGAAGAAATGTTCATGTACTTAATACTTTCTCGGAGTTTTGATTTGGTAACTGCTCCTCTTTCAAACATTACTTAGATTGAACCAGAGTACGTGTTTAATATTCTTCACGCGTTTTACCCTTTCATTCCTCGTCAAGTGGGAAAGTTAAAAAGAAAATCCTAAATTCTTTTCGCAAACTACTTACTACTTATCCTCATGGCCCCATGGAGAAGCATAGGGCATCCACAAACTCGCACCATTTGATTTTATTCTGGGACGGCTAAATGATCGTATTTCAGTTCTTTCCTGCTGCACTGCACTGACCTTCTCCATTTTGCCAAAGAAACTCAATAGTTTTCATTTGCATAGACGCTGTATTCTTGCAGTCTTAAAAAAGGAGCCATCTTGTGTTCACCTTGTGTAGTATTCTAAACAGTGCCACACGAAGTCCTGCTCAACAGCTTTCATTTCTCAAATAGGATTGATTTGATGTTAACTGATGTTGAAGAAGCATGGCGGTCCTTTCCACCAGGCTTTCTGACTATTGACTGAGAAATAGCTTCTAAACTTGCTCCTGGTTTAAAATCCTATGGATGAATCATGACAAATTAATTTATATGAGTTTACTTGTTCTCAGGTGCTGTCAAATTCAACAAGGTGTTGCCATGGGAACGCGACGCTGACATTACCTTTTTAACAGCCAACTACACGGCATTTAAAAAGCTTCGTCCAAAATTCTCAGCGGCTGGTTACAGCCTCAGTGATGACGATGGGTCGCTGTGGTGCTGCGCGGACGGCCGGCAGGCTGGGGGCAAGTTCCGAGTGGGTACAACCCGCTGGACACTGGAACTGTATGGCCAACACATGATGGAGTCCGAGATGCTTGTAGCGAGCGGTCAGCGGCCAACTAAATTGCAGTTTGCCGGGCAATGGGTCACTGTGATGCGCAATCCCGGACTTTTTGCTCGTAATCGATATGGGCCCAAGATATATCGGCACGCGGAGCACTGGATGGACACGGGCCATAACACAGGATGGGCCTTTTACTCTGCCGGTTCCTTTACTAAATGTTCCAAGCTGGGTCACTCGGGATGTCTTGACCAGTTCCCTGCCGACGGCAATCTACAGTTTAGCGACTACCCCTTCAGTTAATGCCGCAAACATTGATGTCGTCGTACCAGCTTCTACTGGCCCTTCGGTATTATTGTTTCTTTTGTCAAATGGTGCATAATAGCACTTCCACATTGCCTTGTTCAACACTAGAAAATACTGTTATGCTTAGATTTGTAGATTCCTACGTAACAGCACTGCGTTTGGCAGTGTCGTACATTTAGATGCCATACAATGGTTTCCTCGAAGAAGGTCAGATAGTTACGAATTGAGACGGAATACAAAAATTGTTCAACGACTGCCTTTGGTCACAGTTTATAGATTATAACTGGATCATGTTATTTGGTCTGAAATCTACATTTTCTTATACTTTGCTCCTAACAACGGTATGAACTTCACGTTCAGGGTTACAAACGTTAAAAAGTGCTTGTTTTAAACAGCCATCAAGTCTTCTTATTGCCATACAGAGATCACAGCGTGATCTCAAATGAAACGAAATTATTTATAACAGTCAGGTATCTTTTTCGACGAGTTTCTTTCTCGCTCTGTTTGCTGTATATGCGAAAACCGAGTGTTGCTTTTAAATGCCGAATTAATCACTCTGAAGGCATGCGTGGTATTTTTAAAGAAATATATTTTAAAAAATCCAAACATCTTTAATGTTAATCGAGAATAAACTATTTTTTGGCATTCATCTTGTTCGGAGTGTAAAAACTAAAAAGTATTAGAAATAAACGATAAATATTTAGAAAAATCGCAGTTATAGTACGTTGTTGAAAACTACCAGGTAAGTCTTACATGTAAAATTTTCCAGACCCTATCTGATACACTCCAAGATGTTTGTTGAGAGAAGTCAGTTCCAAATGAAGCCAAGCTCTCCCGAGATGATCGGGCCTTCTTTTTCATGAGCCCCAACAAAAGGTCATAAAAAAGTCATGACGAGGTCGTTCTTTGAGGTGATATCGAACGTGATGTGTTAGCTGGTGGTCTAGACACGAGGATACTTTTTAGTTTACAGTTAACGCGTTTTTTAAGTTTAATCTGGTCATCTGTTAGGTAAAATTTTGAATCAGCTTTGACATCATGGATATGATGATTCGTTCTTAATCAGCAATACTTCGAGAGTGGGAAATTCGGCACAAAAGTCGACAGTACCCCCTAAATCACTTTTTCCCTGCTTCAAACAGACAATTTACATTCAATACATTCAACAAGAGAATCGGAGACATTTGAAAGACTTAATAAGTGAAGGGCAATACATTTTTGTTCAGGGAAACGATACCGAATGAAACTCTTGACAACCCTTGGTTACGGTATTTGTCAACACCCAAAATTCGAACCCCCACAAGTACTCTGCATTATTATTATTATTATTTTTTGTCCACTGTCCCATGCTCATGACATATCTGATTCTAAAACATCGTATCATCACTGATCTCACTGCAAAATGAATGGACAACCCGCAAGCATGTGAGAGGTAATAGAACAAAACACGAGGAGATCCCCAAAATATTGTCCAGTCCCATTTTAGGCATTAAGTATATTATTACAGATCGATGCAAGATTTGTTCTCCGTTAACCCTACAGAGCTGTCGTTTGTATATGATCCACACTTCCGTCCCGTTTACTACACTATTTTGTTTTTCCGGTCCAGGCTGAATATTCTTATTTTTCTGCCGATCTTAGGCTGAAAATGTTCTTGTGAACATTCTTAGATTATAGTACTAGAAAATGGGCAAGGCCAACACAACGTCAGATTATCTCTCCTACCATGACTTTGATGGCGTTGAAGTAATTTTGAGTCAGACTGCAGGCAATAAATCCCGATATGACACACAGAACTTCCTGCAGAAACGTTTTTGGCATCGAATGTACATACGGCTAGTGCTGTTTGTTTTTTTTTTGGTTGGTTTTGCTAGTGGAGAAAGAAAGAATTTTCATAAGGCTTAATTAAAATAGATAATTGTATTGTATTTAAATAATTTCAACACATAAAATTATATTCTGTTCAAAATCTCAGCCTCGGGTTCCTTTTTGAAATTTCGCAAATTTCGGACGCGATATATGCATATGCGAGTATATTCTTAGTTTAGTGGCTACACAGCAGATCGACATGGAGCGGGTTAATGAGTAATGACAGCTTTGAAGGGGAATAATGGCTAATACAGCCCGGTTGGAATAATAATAATAATAATAATAATAATAATAATAACAATATTAATAATAATAATAATAATAATAACAAGAACTTTATTAAAATGTCCTCAGAAAACCTACAAATCTTCACACATTCCACTGTCGTAGACTAAAATTTTGATGAAAATAAAAATATCATGAGATCCTAAAATACTAATTCACAAGCTCGTGCCATCATCGACTTTCTAAAATTAGTGGACACACGCCCAAGGGCCTCTCAGGGGCTTAGGAAGATTTATTTTAAAGGGAACAAGGAATATTGTTGAATTGTTTTGAGGGAGCATCGCAAACTTTTAAAGAGATCAAGCAAACATGTACTCTCCTTCGCCTTTTTTTTTCAAACAGTAGATTAAAAATCGCCGCATATCACGATAAAACTAACGGCTCCCGAGATAGGAAAAGCAAATTATTACGTAACCGGTATTATGCAGCGGGCGTCCTTTTTCACTTACTGACCAAAAATGGACTTTAACATCTGTTGAGCCATAAGCTGTTATTGGCAATAAAACAGAATGCAGTCAAAGGCATTAAAAATTAAAGACAAAGCCTTTGTGAAAAATAAATTGCTTCTTATCTCTGCATGACATCGGACAGTTGACTTTTAAAACTTCAGGAATAGTGTCTACAAAGTCTTGGATATTTCTCAAAATAGTGACGGACCGTTTGTGTTCATGTCAGGTTCAAATGAGCAGCTGGTCTCGGGCACACGTATTCCAATAACTAGGCGAGAAATGGCGTTGTAAAATTTTTTATATTTTAATTTTTAAATATTTCTCTTCTCCGAAATGGGCCCTGACCTCCCGACCAAGCCTCTGTGTTGTTTCATGGGTGGAATTTAGTTTTCTTTTTTTTTTAGTTGGTCTCTCGTACTCAGAATCATTGCCTGACTAATGAATTACAAGCTAAATTTTACCGCTCGTGCTTACTAGCGTTCGTGCGATTATACTCGGTATTCTGCTGAATTTTAGCGCACAATTTGTGGCATTGGCTCTTTCTTGACCCTCTCAGCATTGGAAATAGTCCAATTTGGTCTTTGAATGCACTGTTTATTTTCAGAACAAGTTAATGAATACCGCGACAGTAAGTCGAATACGTTAACGACCCCTTTGTTCTCGTAAGCGAATCACATCGAGTTCTTTAAGCTATATGATACTATCAAGACATGGAATCATTACTGAAAAAATGCTACCAATCAGTGATCAGTGAGGCTAAAATGTAGAAAACAAACTCTCAGAAACCATAACATCGATGAAGTTGTTAACGTTAAGCCTCACACAATGCAAGACGGATTTTATAAATCTATTCGCCACTTAATCCTTGAGAGATATACCGAGATAAATCCCATATTGTACGAAAAATTACTCAACTAGATCAGCGTCGATTCCGCTTTTTCTCGGTATCCTTTTAAACTTGTTTCTCCAAAATCCCAATGTTGCCTCACTCACTGTGTATATGATATTTTTCCTTCGATATAGAACAACACGCTGAATCTTATCCTTCTCTAATGTTATCGATGTAAGCTACTCTCGAAAAAAACGCCCCTTATCTTTCGCCTATAAGCACTTTTCAGTTTTCTTTTAAATGCTAAAAACGTTTATACGTTGACAACTAATTGAAATTGCTCTATTTTTAACAGGAACCTCATAAGACTAATCCCTCCCTCTGACAACTACGTGACTGAAAGTTCTCAAACGTGTTGGCCACCTGATGAAAAAATATACAACAGTTGAACAAACCTCCATGACAAGATAACACTGTGACAGTGACGAACATTGGTCCTGCGCGCGATCGCTTCAAGTTCCTTACGTCTCGACGAGAAATTTTGCGAGCCAGTTTCCCTTACTTACCATTCCCTTTAATTTCCACGGGAAAAAAATATAAACCACTTCGAAACAACGCCTAGCAAAAAATGGAACTATTCGGAAATTAACGACCCCAGTGATTATGTTTAGGGGTTTCATTTTATTGAGGCATCAATCAAGGTTACATCAGGGCTAAAAAATAATTTCTAAAAGAAAGGCTTTCTTCATCTATGAAAAAATACCGCCAAAAATTCTCTTCGGCTGCTTTTGCAAAGAATGTCCGGTATAATATAGTTATTAGCTTGTAGTTCAGTAGATTATCAGTTTTATTGTGACAAAAGACGACAAAATTTCAATTTATTACGAAACCTGCGTATATTTATTGTTTTTTTTTTTTCAGCAAAACAAAAACATATCTATTGATCTGTCAAAACTGATTTTATTCACGGTGTTACGATTTAAAAACATAAGAATGAAACTGAAATAATTAAGAATGTAAACTTATTCTTTTCGGTGTTAAAAACCTTTAAAATCATGCCATTGGGAAACGCTCTCCGCAGATTCAACTAAAACCAATTTCAAATAAATCCAGTTGTGAATCAGAATTGTATAATACAATAACAGATCTTGTTGTTTTCTGGAAAGAATTTGTGTCCCATATTAATTTGATGCAATTACGTTGGCCTTGACTCTGGTGGACTGTTTTTCACCGCGAAAAAGGCCGGCCGAAGTAATTAAAACCATCTATCAAGAACGAGTTTTATTGTTTGCAATCTCGTGTTTACTTAAATTTTCGCCTTTCCGGACTATGGACAGAGTGGGTTTTTTTGGTGTCACTTCTATTTGTAGCTTGCTCATCTGCCAGCATGAGATTGAAGCAAAAGTACAAAAAAGAAAGAAAATATATTTACAAGTGAAAAAAAGCCGTGTTGCGGACCATGACAGGTTTTCAGAAATCTATATAATTGAAAAAAAATCCTTTTCATTTCCAGCTATGTAAACTCAAATAGAGATAAACAAACTCGCTGCCACGCGTAATTACAAATGGGTGCAGAGCTTTTCTGCTCTTCAAGATTTAATGCCCCCCTACGTAATATTGCCAAATAAATCGTTATTTTTGTTTGCGTCCGCTAGTTTTGTTCGATTTGTTGGGCGTTTAAAAGATCAGGGCGCCTTCGGTACTAAAAGATCGCAATTGCAAAATTTAAACTTCAACTGATAATTTCACATCTGTTCACTCGATTGAGCTTCTTTTTGTAGCAACGGTCACAAATGTCCCCGTCTCGCTCTGTGATGACTGTCTTTTTGCTCGGACACTCAGTCGTACGTGTCCACAAGGCAGCGAGCCACGCGCTAACCGAGCTCTTTGCGTCCCAAGAAATAATTCCAGCAAAGCGCGCCGAAATCGCCTCTGCAAAAGTCCGTAAATAAAAGGATCAATAGCACTCTTTAGAAAGGCGATCCACCTCAATGCGATTGTTACAGTGTGGCTAAGCGATAATCCGCCGTTGCCCAGTTCAAGAATACGAAGCGTGGTGTACGGCGCAAGGCAGCATAAGAACGCGCCGATGACGAAGAGAATTTTTCTCGCAGCTTTGAACTCTCGCTGCCGGCTGGTCTCGGTAGCCGCTACAGGTCCGCGTACCGGCGCGAGATGGACCGCGGTGATTACAGCATGCCCAATCCTGCGAGAATGCAGCTTCGCCACGTTGAAAATTCTGTAGTAAGTCACTAACATGACCAGCAGCGAAAGTCCTGCGTTAGCGGCGTAGGTTGCTCCTGTAAAAACCAGGTAGTTTACTTCATATAGGTCAGACGGAAAAGTGCAGAAAAAATATCGAAAGTTAAATTCGTACCAGCCAAATCCAATGGGTATTAAGGAAAATATGATGGATTGTAACCAAACGAAGGAGATCATAGTCAGAGCCATTTGGACAGTCATTTTAGCTCTGTATTGTAGAGGTTTGCAAACTGCAATGTAGCGGTCCGCGGAAATTGTAGCCAGTGTTAAAACCGCCGCGAGGCCTAATACCATATTCCAAAACGCGCTTGTTTGACACCAAAACCCTCCAAATGGCCATTTGTCCGCCACTATTGCTCCGAATGAATAAGGCATCGCAAAAACAGCCATGAAAAAGTCGCAGATTGCGAGATTTACAATAAATACGCTGGATATATGTCGTCGGAGTTCCTTGCTTCTGTACACAACTAAACAAACCAGGAAATTCATGACCAAGGCGGCAAGTGTCATTAGAAATAAAGCCAAGGCGAAGGCAAAAACTTCCACATTGCTTAGGAAACCCATTTATTGTCCATCTGAGGTTCGTTTGCTACCAGTAATCCCTTTATATCGCAGGGTTTTTTGTTGGGTTTAATGAAATACGGCGTTTTAAAGACTTGAGTATTCAATGTAGCGGCAGCTGCTTGTGAAACTTTAACGAATGGACGATTTACTAAGCTGTAATTTCGAGTCAATTTGGCGATGCCAGCCGAGTTCCCTTCCTTATCTTCCTCAGTAGAACGATGCTTGTGGAAGCGACTTACAACTCTGTTAAATCGCACAGCGCTCCATTAGAAATCACCAATACACTACTCGTTAATCTGCGGCAATCGGTCGCGGCGAGAAGAAATTTCTTCAAAATTTCCATGTTATGTTTTTTTCTTCTGTACACAAATCTCTGATCATTCTATTGGACGGGAAGGGAAAAAAGTGACATTCAAATTGGTTACCATGCTTAGAGCTGAATTTTGGATATTGTCCTTTTTAATTAGCAAAGACTCTAATTCATAGGCCGAAACGGGGCCAGAACGAATTTGCATAACAAAGTCTTTCACGGGACAAAGTATGTATTTATACCAGGGGTTTGTTAAGAATAAAAATTCCCCGTCAAATGAAGAAGTGCCAATTCATCAGAAAGGCGCCTACAGATGTCGTAACATGCAATAAACAGTCTTGCGTAGTCGGACATTTTTTCTCTTTTTTTTTTCTTTTCCTGTTTCCTTCAATTCAAAAAATGTATTTCCATATTCAGTAGAAATAGGGGTATATTTTTGTGGCTAGCCTATAAATGGCCATTCAAGTTAAAACTAAATGTCGAAAACATGGCCAGCCGCTAAATAATTCATGTACTACCTAACGCACTCGAAATCTATTACTGCACAGCAAGGAAAAACATTAATGTCGAACTGGGAGAAAATGCCATTTTCCTAACTGAAATTATTTCATATTTCTTTGTATGAGCCAAAATATTTTTTTTGCTGACAAAGAAAACACTTGCACAAGATTTTCTCACCTCTATAGATCCAAGGTGTTACACAGCATTAATGGACCGCTAAGACCCGGGCAATAACAATTATATTTCCACAAAACTACAGATGGAAAACCCAGTTAACTGGTCTGCCGAACGGAGCAGGTCACACTTGTTCTTTGCCAAGCTTTCCGGCGCCCTGCGCGTTTTAGCGGTGGTGTCCTCGGATTTAAATGCAATGTAAGTCTTACTGTTTTGAAAGCTTAAAATCACCAGGTGCAAGCCGGGTTTTTTCTCATGCAAATTTTACAAGGAATATATCTAGACGAAGTGCTAGTGTTTGCATTGACTGAAAAACTAATAAAAAGAGCTGTCTTTTGCAGGAATTGGTATATGTTGGCGAGTTGACTTAAGTCACGGGGTTAAATTTGAAAGATGGCTAAGCTTGTAAAATCCAAATTTGCTGCAAACGAGAAAAACCATGAAAAATTAGCAAGGTATTATATTTAATGCGAGCGTACGTGTGCTAATATAATCCAAATTTATTACTTTTTATCTACGGTGGCAAATATTGAGATAAGCTGGATGGACATTTTCAGTCCAAGTCACATAAAACTCTTAACGGAACGCTGATATCTGCTTCTAAGATTATACGAAAAAAAATCGAAAGCAACTTTTCATCATTTTAATCAAAATGATGAGACCAACGAAGAATTGTTGTGTAAAGGAGGTAATTGCCAGCAATGAGAACTTTATTGGTAATATCACGTACAAAAATAAATGAATCAAACTGGGTCAACATGTACTCGCGTGTACGCCAAAAAGCCGAAAACTTTCCAAACCTTTTTAAAGTCGTTTGTAACTTTCGATTTCTCGGCTCCGCCTCACAAAGGCATTAAAAACCGCGCCGCTTACATCATCGTTAATATGTATACCACATTTACGCTAACATCGGATAAAAAATAACTTGAAAGGAATTAATCAAGGTAAAATAAAAATCAGATAAGAGTGGTGAATTATACGAAACGCTAATTGTTTTCATGAAAGAGCATTTCCTAATTATCGTTAATAGCTTTTATTCATTTTTGCACCGCCAGAACTGACTCATCCAAGTCAATAACAACCCTTCATTTTTCCTGCCTCGTATCTAAAAACAATTTGGGAACTATTCCTTTTTTCTCTCCATCTAGACAGTTTATCAACTTAGCCAATTGTTCATTGCCTTTTGCTTTATTTGCACGTTCATAAATCTTTACCGATCAGTCATTCAAGCATACAACTTTCGTCTCTTGTGCGGTACATTGTAGCTTAGGAAACTGTTTTCTTCTTTCATCTGCAGCTATGAAAACCACAGTTGCCTTACATGTATTCCCCGTTATGTTATATTCTTTCATTCACGTATTTACTTACTTGATTATGTAGTTATTTGCTTGCCCTCGTTTATTTTTGCGTGCGATTTAATGTTTTTGTTTTTTTTTCAACGTATGTATCATTCTCTTTTCTTCTTTCCTTCTCTGTCTGGCCTATTACGTAATTTCACGTTCTTAGTCACGGCTGCTGCCTTCAGTTTCTAAAACGATTTTCTCATATCATCAGCATCGTGGGGAAACAACAGTATTAACGTTAGCGAGTCACTGTATCAACAGAAATCTTAAGCCATTTAAAGTGGGGTGACTAGAAGACAGAAATAAACTCTCGTTTTCTTCTGGCCAAAACTGAAAAAATCAATGTTTTTCAGTCTTCAAAAGGTAATGCAGAAAGATCTAAGCAGCGTAGCAAGTTTCTGTGCGTATCTTTGTTCTGCATAGCCGTAAATTCTAGAGATTGCTGAAAGCAAATCCCAACATGTTGCATGTAGTCGACTATAGTTGAGGCTGCGCATTTTGAGCCACTTCAAAGTGCAAGTACCATTTACCTCACCGGACGACATTAGCATTTATTTGCTTCAAAATTCTCTTCTATGAGTCAAGTTGCCTTTCAAATGAAAGCGTTTATGGTCGCTGGGAATATTTCATTCAGTAAGAGTCCTGACTTTTCTGGAGACTGTGCTCTCCATGAGTTGAAATTAGCTGTGAAATTACTGTACAATATTCCGGTGCAGTTAGTGACAACAGAAAAAAAGACGGCTCAAATTCAGGACAGATCTACTCACCAATCTTCTGAACAGATGTATTTTCAGTTTGATGTATCTTTATAAAATATTTATGGAAGTCCTTTAAGGTTGGATTTTGACACCACTACAAAGATGCACATTTATATCCTCCAAAATTTTATTTTGTTTCAGTCAAACTTATCAGCCTTAATATTACTTTAAACTTTAGTTTAAATAATGCAGGTCTTGAAACTTAAAGGAGTCTTGACATAAAAAAGAGAAGCCCTTCCCTTCATCATGAAAACATAGCATACATCTGTAGACAAACTGTACAGTAAATACCATTTACATTATCTCAAAGTACTTAGCTATTAGTACCATGCCCAAAACATCCATCTGTAGCCATTCTGTAATTATTTAGTCTATTCATACAGTTCTAATGCATTATTAAGGGACTGGAATTTTATTACATGAATGCTTTTAACTCTCTGATGATGACCTTTATGACCAAAAACGCTAAGTGTATGTAAAAAGCAATTAAGTAATTTTTATCATTTTACTTGACAAATATGCAATGTCTTCAACCATTATCCACATACTTTACTGACATTTTTCACATTATTTGTTATTGGACACCTTGAAGGGTTACCACAATCCTTCTAGATCCTGCGTGATTCCTGTGTTCACAAAGCCAGATTCCCTGCCAAGTTCCAAGATTGAACTTGCCATTTGTTATAGGAATTGTCACACTTGGTCCTATGAGGGCTGTCTTTGCATGTCCTGCCAGACAAAAGAAGTTAACAAAAATTCCTTAAGTGTTCCCTTCTTTTCATGTCAGTATTCCATTTGGTTGTGCACTGTACGTTGGGTTTACTTCACTTTTGTTGGCCCGGGTTTCATTAAGGTATCAGTATACCTCAATTTCTCTCAGAAATGCCAATGGGCAATGGGCAAATTGACTCGTTGCGAGGATGATTTTGCCCACCTGGTTTGACCATCTAGAGGAAAGTTTTTCTTATAAAGAATTTCAGTTAAAAAAGTTTTGCCCACCTGTGAAAACCAGTTGTCCTCCTACTGAGAATGTTAATCAAACCCCTCCCTGCTTTTGACGTGCCATATGTACTCTATTGCCCATTAAACATCATCTGTGCTATCAAAAATGTTTCCACTCTCTATCACCCCTGCCACCACGAACATTTTAACAATATTTGACAACACAGTGGTGACATGACATGGAAGTCCCAGCCCTGGGAGGCTTGATGTATGAAGCACAACTCTTTTTCACAGCAGGTTAATCAATGGGTTGTTGGAAGGTTGCACTGGCTCCTGCTTGTGGGTTTTACTATTGCAACAGTAGACCTTGTGTGAGGCACACTGGATAATTAGATTTGGTCCATGCTTCGAGATCTGTTGGTTCAAGCCCTCATCAGGTCATTCTTTGTGTACCTGGTCAAATCACTACCCTCACAGCTCCTGTTTCTACCGTTCCCCATTCTCCCTTCCCCCACCCCACAAAAAAATGTAGTCTGACCCAACTTAGGCTGATCCCTATCGTTTGAACAGAATTAACATTACCTTTAAGTCAGACTTGACATGAGAGTCTTTCACTTGACAAATAAGAGGAATTTCCCATCCCCCCACAGCTCTACCAACACCCCCCCCCCCTCCCCGCACCATGTGCCCTCTACAGAAAGTGGCATTCTTCACCTCGAGATCCCTAAATTGCAACAGGCAATTGTTTAAGCTGGATGTATCAGCCTAACCTGGCATATCGTCAGGTCCTTCAAGAGTATGTATGTACGGAGGTCCGCTCTCTGGAACCAAACGATTTAACATCATCTCCATGTCGGTCCTAACCGATGAATCCCAACACTCGTTAATACATATGCTTGCTGAGGTGTGCTGCAATAATAAATGAGCCAGTCCAATCTTGTACTTCTTTAGCTCTGGGATACGCGCTATTTCGTCCGTTATCACATGAACTCCGCGAGATTTTGGCTTAACATTCACGGTCGTTTGAAACCATACAGTCGGCCCGGTAGCCGCCATTTTGTAACGATGAAATTTGCGCGGTTACGAAGCAGGACCATAGCGGAGAAACGATCCTTTGAAGTGATAAAGTTTTTTTTTTTAAAGACCACGTAAAAGCGATAAATAAATAACTGATCATTTCAGTATTAACAAAGGACACCATATATTTTTGTTTAAATTTTTGAGCCATAACTAGAACTGTAATCCTGTACTGGAACTTCCACTTCCGGTTACTGAGACCGCTGGACGGAAGATTGTCTCGGCTGTAAATTCGTTCATCATTATTCCACGAGCCAATGAGTCGGAACTTGTGTCGCCTCCAAGGAACAATTCTGCATTGCTATCGCTCGTTTTCCGCTGGAAAAGCAGTCATGGATGCTGGAAAACGGGCTGCAGCAAGATATGCAGTGGACACGTATGTCAAGGTAAGTTAGCTCCACTTTCAGAACCGCCGAGGAGTTGCTTCAATGGAAAATTAAGTTTTTGTTGTTGTGATCAGAGACAGGAAAGTAAAATGTATTCTAACATAAGCTTAATTTATCAGTTATTCAAGTACTTCTGTGTTTCACTTTTCAATTTTCTCGTTGTTGAAAGAAGCACTTAGAACAGGTTTAAACTTGCCTACTTTCAGGGTTCTAAGGGAAGAGGTTTATCTCTCTATGGCGACAAGAACCTGGCGGGGGGGGGNTGCTTTAGGAATTTCTGGGTGGGGATGTGCCGCTGCGACCCTGAAACCCTTAGCCTGTACCAGAGCTAGTTCGGCTGAATTTTGCTACCCTATACTAGAGTAACCAGTATTAAAACCACCGATTTCCATCGACTGAATCCTGATTTTTGACAGTTAATAATATGCTGTGTCTCCATGTCCGGCAGCGGGACAGGTTTTTCAAAATACTCCTTGTCCGGCAGTCAAAATTATTTTTTAAAAATTTCATTTAATAATTTTAAATCCTTGTTTATATGGCTGAATACTAATTTCGGTGAGCCCGACACCTGGTATATCGGGATTTATAACGTAGACTATTATAAAGTGACCAGCAGTCAAAACATTTGAATAGCAATCTGGTTAGCTTACAAAGCACTCCAGTTAGCCTAAAAAGCACTCCGGTTAGCCTGAATAGCACTCCGGTTAGCCTAAATAGCTCTCCGGTTGGCCTGTTTACGGTTAGCTTTCAATAATGCTAAGGGTAACTCCATAAATAATAAGTAAGTAATAATAATAAGTCTCACTGCCAGACACAGAGTATTTTAAAAAACCTGTTCAGCTGCCGGACATGTAGCCATAGCGTTAATAATATCCAGTAGTGATTTATGATAGTCGTCTATCAACGCTGTTGAGGCTGACTTGCAAGAATTTAAAATTGCTGATTTCATTTTTTTTCATATTTTTGAGTGGCAATTCCTGGTTTCCTTAGTTTAGATAAAATGTTCAACCAACTGGTCAGTTTCTTGAAAATTGATACCCTATTCTAGACCCAAACACTCTGTTTTATATACCCTATGCTAGAGTAAACTGCTTGAAAACCATACCCTTCACAATGGCACATACCTATGTAGCCTATATATGGCAGTACCCCCCCCCCTNGGGGGGGGGGGGCATTTACTCCCTTATATGGGCTCTATCATTGTGTACGGCTCCAAAGGGTATGGTTTTGAGCAGTTTTGGTTTCTGTGACCCTATAGTAAAGCCGTGTTCTAATTTTAGAAATCTGATAAGGGGTAACAATTTTTCTCTCAGGTCTGAAATAGGGCATGGAAAATGACAGATTTTTGTCTGAATACATGTAGCTAGGGTACAGGTTTCAAGGTCCAGGCCCCACACCCCACCAAAAGCTTTGGGGAGCATCTCCCCAGGGACAAAGATAATCAATGATTTAATATACTAGGCAGGATGGAAGACTGCACATAACCCTGTGCCATATAGAATGCAACCAGTCAAGTGTGATGCCTCTGCTGAAGGATGTCTGTGCTGTGCATTGCACATGGCTGTACATGTGTGATGTTATTAACAGAGTTCACTGTGTTATGTCATGTACATGCCCAAAATAAATATACACCTGGTCTATTTCAGAGTAACCTGCACATTTAAAGTTATTTGGCTTAAACTCCCTACCGCTCCAGAAATCCCGGTTTAGCTTCTTATGTTCCTCCATAATGTTTGGCTTCTAAGATCCCCCACCCTCTCAAAATTCCCAATCACTTTCCATGGGGCTTTCTGGATCACACATTCATGGAAATCGTCGCCAAAACTCTGTGNACGTTGATCACTGCAAGGACTGAAGAAGTTATTTAAAGCTTGGCATGTGTTGGGGTTTTCATTATGTTTTCTTGTTTCTTACGCGTATATCCAAAGATTGTCTTATAGAGGAATCTCGAGTAATTGCAACTGACCAATCGTAGTGAATGCAAATAACACGCAGTGTTCGAAGAAAATTAATGACACACTTCAAAAAATAGTTTTTTTGTGGGGGGCAGCGGCGAACACCAGTATGACCCCCGTGACGTCGTGGGTGAAGACTTGTTAGTTCTCGTTTGCAAAATTAGCAAATGGTTGAAGAAACAGGCTCTTTTTTCGGATTGTTTGGAGTAGAATGCGCAAATTTTTCCAGGTAATTCGAGGAAATTGGTCTAAACTGTTGTGAATCGCAATTTATTGTGTTAGATCGGTTTGAAGGCGGTGCACACTTCATCAGAATGGATTTTATAGAGTTAAACAGCATCGCCATGTGTACACTGCATGGATTTCTGATTACATGGCACTGCTGGTAGGAAACTCACACGCGATCAGTAGATTGTTTTGTATAAAATCCAAGTATCTGATAGATCGCTTATAATAAATTACCTTACTTTGATTAGGTTTATGACTGGAAAGAGCTGAACACACAACTGAATCTAATACCAGGTTAGAAAACTTACTTGTTTCCTGTCCACATCTGAAAACATTGTTTTGTGCAGCAAAAGTTGCTTTCCGATTTTTATTGACTTCTATAGTTCTCATAATTACTGGAAACACGCTAATGAGTAGCTTATTATTTAACGTTGTATGGGTGACGCCGGCAGCGGCTAATGGTTGGCATCTTGGACTCCAAGCAGAGCGATCCTGATTTGAAAATTTGGTGGGGTCATAGTGATGTGTTCTTGGGCAAGACACTTATTTCTCGCAGTACCTCTCTCCACCTAGGAGTATAAATAGATACCAGCGAACTGTTAGAGTAACCTAGCAGGTGCTGGGTGTAAAATGCCACTAGAATTCCATTCAGGGGTGAGAGTAAGTTGAGAGACTCCCAGGAATCGTATTCGCCTGCGGACCAAAAAAAACGGACCAAAAACCCCTTACAAAAGAAAGGTCTAGAAAAAGAACCTTTTTGTGGCGAAGGAACCATATGACTGTATTAAAGTAGAGATGCACGATGGTGAATTCACGAACGTGTACGAGCTCTTTTCTGTCTGACAAAATGTCTGACGATCTTCTTTTCAACTTTTTTGTATGTTATAGGGGTGGTAGAGACGGGGCTGTTTGTTGGCATGGCGGAATGTGCCATATTTGGAAAAGCGGATGGCACTGTGACGAAACGATAGACATGACTCATCTGAAATGCACATGCGCGACGAAACTTAAATCCCCAAGCGGCGAAAAAGAAGAAATTCGCTTCAAAGATTGTGTATGAACATAATTATCATAACCGTGTAATCCAATGAAATGTGACAAATGTGCTGAGTATTTATTGTTTTCCAGGACATCGTTTGAAATTCTGTTAGTTTTGTAAAACAGTCATTGTTGATTCCATCCAGATGAAATTAAAATCGTGTTCTACTGGTCTTTTTGTAGAACTTGCCTCAACCACAACTAGTTTAAGTTTGATCAAGTGCCCCAACAGAACTCTATTTCTAATCGTTTTCAGTTGAAACGGTTGATACAATGCTTGAGCTAAGCCTTGTAGGACAGACTGTTTTCAGTTGGTTGGATTGGCTGGGTTTTTTGTTGTCTTCTGGAAAAACCGCGTCAACCGAAACCAGTTGCACATTTAGATTGTGCCATTTACAGAACTTCAACCGTAGCAAACATTGCCGGGTTTGATGCCCATTTAAGGAGATGATCAAACCAACAAAGTGAAGAACCTTTCCCAACAGAACATAAGAAATCCAAATAACGCTTCATAAAAAAGAAAAATGTAGAAATCTCTCTTTAATGAGGTTTTGTAACAATTCATGTACATTAAATGTAATTACTTTTGAAGGAATAAAGACGTTTAAAACAATTTTCTCGTGTTTTGTACGAAGAGAAGAAGAAACTCTTTGATGGGTAGGTAATTGATCTTCAGTATAACGAAACAATAACATTTCAGAGTGGTCAACATGTAATTTCTCCTTACAATGCTAATCCATTGTCAAGTAGCTTGTTAACTTTGATTATCAAAGTGTAAATTCTCTTTGTTCGCGCCATCATTACGTCAACAGCTCGTGCTAGTTCTGTGTTTCCATCGAGTTATAGAAACAAGATTTTTAGCCAATCAGCGCGCGTATTTTCTTAGGACTGTTTTCTAAAATACAATACAATATAATACAAGTTTGTAGTGTAATACGCTTAGCTATTCAGGTGTGACATTACATAATGGATTGTCACACCAGCTTTTTGTGTTATAGAATAGGGAGAGGTTCATGAGCGAAACTCAGTAGGGCTGTACCTTGTTGAGTGTGTGCTGAAAGAAAACTCGGGATCGTGGGAGTGGGAATTTCTAGCTCACAAAGAGTGGAGTGGGAAGTGATGACATCCCTTTTCTGACTGAGCCTTTGTGGCCGATGGCTGGCTTTTTCATTCATGCTTTCGCTTTCTTGTAACAGAGCAGAGAACGGTTAAAGCTTTTTT